TCTAATCGGTGCAGCTTTCAACACACAGTAAAACATCCATCCCCTCTTATGTAGAGATGTTTTTGATAATTTTCTACACAGTCGATATGAAACAGAGCAAATAAGATGTATCAAGTAGCTGAAAATAAAGTGTGTTTAATACTCAGCACTGCCACAGATTCCATATAAACCACTTGTCTGTGCACTGTATCAGAATACGAAAACCAGCAGCACAGCCTCAGGACCAGTGAAAGAGCTACAGCGTGTGCTACCTGAATTTCTAAGTCCAAACCACGAACAGAGGAGGAGGTGGCTGAAGGAAGACACCATCCAGTGCGAGTGCTGCAGCCTAAAGCAGATTTCTTCTTCTCTCTCTCTGTCAAGGAATTCCTGTGGTCCTACTCTAGTAGCTTTAACATGATGACTGCAACACTAGTTGGATTCATCATGTATCACCAGGCCATGTTATGTATTTATTGCTACAGATGAATTTATGATTATGAAATACAAATATGCCAGGCTACTTTACTGACAAAGTAACCAAGTTTATGTTCTGTCCCTCACTTTGTGATAGAGGGAGACAAAAACATTCACAATGCAAACAGTTGATCACAAAAGCCAGCTCTAGAGTTACTAACAGAATTAATGAGCTTTGCCTCATCTCACGCAATGTTGCCTTTATATTAAAAGTAAGCAGCACTATTTCAATCAGAACGGAGAGCATACACAAGAAAACACGCGCAGCCATCAACAGTACTCATGGTCTCTATGTTTTTGTGCCCATCAGATCTGGCTGTACCTCCAGGATACAATACCCTGATGTAGAAGAATGAATCTGGCTTTAGACTTGGACACACCTGAGGCCCATCATCTTATCAGTGAAACCTTAAATTGCCCAGCATGTGGAAAGAATGTTTAGTCAGTTGGAAAGAAAGATCCAAGCATCAACAACTCAACAAGAACAGATTAAGTGAATCGGTCTTGTTGAAGCTCAAATGCTATATTTTATGACTTTGGAAAACTGGAAGACCTCCTGGTGTTTCTTGGCTCTGACAATTACACATTTCACTCTCTTGTCCTCTCTATCTATCCTTCCTCAAGTACAAGGCTGGAGAGAGGCCAGCTACAGTATCCTACCACAGCTGTTTGTTGAAGACTATCTGCTGTCCTCTGCAGGGAGAGCTGTAGCACTCCCATGGTGACAAGGAATGAACGAGAAGGATTAGGCTGAAACAGTGGGACAGCTAACTGTCATAAAACACTTCTGAGGACAACAAAAGGACAGGAAGTTAAGAAAACTAAGACATGGCCTCAGTGGAATGAAAAGTAAGATAAATACAGAACTGGGGATGAAGGGAGTGAAGTGGGTGAAAATGTAATGATGCAGGGATCAGCACACTGTCACACCCAACAGACACGGCTGTCAATCATGTACACAGTTAACACCACTCTCAGAATCAGACATTAAATATTCTTGTAGACAAAAATGGACATAAAATTGGGTATGTAGTTCAGGTATACCTAATAAAGTGGGCAGTAAGTGTATGTTTATTGTTCAAGTATAAATAGCAAGAGCTTTTTTAAGTTCATAAATAACTGAGGGGAACAGAGGATGTGAAATGAACAACAGAGGAGAGAGGAGAGAATACAAGCTGTGCCTTTCAGAACGGTCTTGGATATTTCTTGGAGGAATCAGCGTGATAAAAGGGAACACACTACTTCAGTTAGCTCCTCGCCGCTTTCCGTGGATTACTGCTCTGGATTTTAGTCATACATTTGATAATACAAGTTGTTTTGAGCTAGTACCTGCATATGTGTGTGGGTGCATAGTAGTATACACCGAAACAAAGAAGCATTCAGTTGAAGAGATGGAACTAATATGTGCATGATAGGGTGTGGAGCAAGTGAGGCTCCAGATGATGGGTGTTCAAAATCTGCATAATGCAAGGTTAATATTTGATTGATTACATTTGATGTAATTATTGGGCATGAACTGGGAATACATGTTAAAAATATCACCATACAGGTGCCACAGTTATCAACTATTACTATCAATTATACTTGCAAATGATAAACAACACGTTGGCTTTCTTCTGAAATGAAATACATCTTGATAAAGATGAGAAAACATAAATACAGACCTCGTCCAATGAACCTTTTTTGCTTTCTTTTAGGCTTTCATTCCCCTAAGCTCAATCTCTACTGATAAACAACAGTGACACCTGCACACCTCACAAAACACCTCAAAAACAATCAAAGTGCTAAATTAACACTAGCAGTGTGGAAATCACTTTTTCAGAGTCTATATAGGTCCACACTAAATCGAGTTAATTTAACACTTTAAAAAGTGTTGTTTTTTTAAACTCATTGAGTGTTATAAAAACACTGTGTTCATATTTAACACCATTAGTGTGTTCTTCTTTCCATAAAGGCTCCATTTTACACCTATTAGGTGTTAAAACTACACTATGTGTGTCAATATTTTAAAACTAATGGAGTTGTTTTAACACTAAAACAATGTGCACACAGGTCTAGATTAAGGTATTTAAATTTTCTCTATACTCTGTTCAAATACATTCACAAAGAACAGCTAACACACTCAAATCAATTTAACCTTTTATTTTCAACAAAATAAAAATCACACAATCAGCCAACCAACCATCTTAAACCAACATACAATAAGGTACAATATGTTCACCATCTGACCCATATGGAATTTGTACATCAAAAGGTCTGTAGAATTTCAAAGCATTTGGGTAACAGGTTCTTGTGTGGATATAATTCTTTAAACAATTCATGGTGCTCAATAATTAGGTATTTCAGGAGAACAGTCGTGCCTTCTGTGATACATGTGGAAAAGACCAGATTCAGAATTTGAAGTAAGAGCAAGAGCAAATGCCAATTCTTATCACCAGGGGGTACAAAATCACCAAACAGCAATGGAATGTTTCTGATAAGACAGAGGCTCTGGATAAAGTTTAGACCGATGCTATTTCCACTGTGCTCCAAATTCACTTTAGTAGGACGATTTTTTTTCCCTCTCTAAATACCCATAATCATATGAATATATTCTAGAGAGCAGCTCACACTGTGTAACAAACTTATCTGAAAGATATTCAAACAGTTTCATTTCAAATTGAGCAACTCCTTCAAGGTCATGCATTACATCAAATGAGTAATTATGGCAGACATGAAAATACTGCAAGCTGTTGAGTGTCGAGTTTCGTTTTAGTCCATGTGTTGACTTAAGTTGAGGGTCAGATTCCAACTCGCTGCAATGCTGTTCATAAATTTTACGATCACGCAAAACTGTAACATCATCCTCATTGTACAAAAACTGGATATCTGCTTTTTCAGTTAACAGACAGCAGAAGTAATTGCCACTAAACGATTCTGTGAAGCCAAGTATTGAATGCATCCCCAAGTTGTCTCCAACGACTTGACATATTGCCCCATAAACTCTACCTGTGGATATGGGTGGTTCAACTCCATCTGTCTCCAGAATTTTCACATCATGAATCAACGGTTCCAAAATGGGGTCAAAGCCATATTTTTTTAAGTCTTGAGCATGAAATAGTGCTATCAAATGAATATTCATAAGCATTGAATTGAATTTTTGTGGTAATTTCTCAGTATGAAATAAAGCGCACCAACCTTGTGTACGCCACGTTTAGAACCAAGAGGGTTTGCAGTCTCAAATTCATCATAATATACCTGAATTTGTAAAGCACTGGGATGTTTTGGGAACAGTGAATGACTCTTGAAAAAACTTCCATCACAGAAGTCCTCAAAATGTGATTTCTGTTTAGCTTGAAACTCTGTCAGCAGTCTACATACATCTACATTTCGACACATAAATTTTAGGGTTTCCAATATTGGGACATAGACAAACGTATCTTTTACTGGGACCTGATCATAAAATCCAGTTTTTTTTGTCTCCTAATGTCATACCTCGTGCCAAGCATAACTTCTACTGGCTCCACTACACCAAATTTGTCCATGAAATATTTATTTCTTTTAGTTTCTGTGTTAAAAAAGGAAAAGGGGCTGTCAAAATGTCCTAAACTATTTTCAACTGCTGACCTGGCAGGGTTATTAGGAGGAATGGCAGACATTAGCTGAACTTGGCTATGGAGTTCCATTGTGAGTTCCTCAAGCTCTGAAACAACTGATGATACCAAGCTATTGGCCACTCCACTGCACTGTAATTTGGCCACAATGGAGGCACATACAGTGGTTATCCACAGTCTCTCTTCTGGAATGGGTCACATTTCTCTCAACTGAGTCAATGGGAGCAACTTGGGGATCAGATTCAACACAAGAAGAACATTGCTGATCAACATGAGCGGGCTCTTCACTAGAGGACAAATGAACAGCTGGACTATCATCAGCAACATGAACACTGTTTAAATGTTTTCGAAAACCTGAATATGTACAAAACTGTCTGCTACAACCACTTTGTGCACATAACTTAAACTTCAACGATGGATAGAAACTGTGCGAGACTAAATTGTATGAACCAAAATGGGTCACTAACAGAAGTAGTGTATAGTGATTCTAAACAGAACACAAGGCCTGATGTTGTATAATCTAAAAAAGGTAAAGGGCAAATTTTAACATTTCTTGATCAGTGCTAGGTTTTTACACTGTTTAAGAATAAAACATCTTTGATTATGTGGAGTTACACAGCCATAAAGATGCTCCGGGTCAAAATGAACTGAACAGAGGGAGTGTGTAGTAGACCCGAACAGAACACAAGGGTTGTGTGTTCTGTTCGGGTCAGCGTTGACTCGGAAAAAATTTTCACTTAAAGAAAAAAAATATTTCTAAACATTTTTTTGGGCTCAAGCGTTAGGCACATTAGTTGTCAGACGGCCCTGGAAATGATTTTTAGGCGAGAGAAGATTCTGAAATTGACGCAGACGAATAAATTTCATAATTGGAGGACAACATTACTGTCGGGTGAGCCAAAATAACGCGGAAAACGAGCGAAGCAGTGCGTCAGCGCGGCGCGTCTCTGTAAAGGCACAGCCGGTCACAGGTAGGTAATTCATATGAAAATTCTGAGTTGCAGAGAAAGTTTGCACCTGGCACAATCACTATGGCCATGCCATTAGCATCTCCATGCTCCCCCAACAAGTACAGAGTAACTACAGGGCATCTGCAGTTGCAGAGAATGGTTTCACCTGGCGCTATCAATATGGCCATGACATTTGCATCTTCATTGTCACCTTCACATGCCTCTGCTAAAATGTAAATGCAATCTGAGTTGCAGAGAATGTTTGCATCTGTGTGCATCTCATTTGCTCTGGCTATAATCCCACAGTAACGACCACATGGTTTCACCTGGCCCTATCAATATGGGCCATTTGCATCTTCATTGTCACCATAACATGCCTTTGCTACCATGGAAACGCTACGCCCCCAAGGGCGTTGGCCACAGAGAATAAAAGCAGGACAGCTAGAAGCCGCCTTTCTTTTTTGACTACGCTGAACACCCCCAAGGGCGTTGGCCACAGAGAATAAAAGCAGGACAGCTAGAAGCCGCCTTTCTTTTTCGACTACGCTGAACAGCAATGGCACGCAGGATTTCCACAGACGCGTCTCCCTGGTTTCTGATAGTCCAAGCGACTTTGATGATGATATCTTGGACCAAGACTTTGTTCCAAGTACTGTGGTAAGACTTAGATTCCAATGCAATACGCAGTTTGTTTCATAAAAAACGCTGTTGTAGTTACAGCTTGCTCATTTGTAACTTTTACTATCATTACTGTGTTTTCAGTCGTCCTCAGGCGGGAAAAGGAAGAGAAAGACAAAACACATTCCTTCTGTGGAGCTGGCTGAAAGCGCGGAGCAGCAGGGACAAGTAAGTTATTACAATGCAATATACAGTCTGTTGCATAAAATGTGCTGTGTTTGAGAACTTATTGTAATTGTGATTTATTATTTTGAAACAATTACAGGCTGAGCCAGCTCCAGGAGACGTCTTCATCGCGAAATCTGGGGCCATATCATGGTCTTCTCAGCCCTCCAAACAGCCAACCAGAATTGCTGCTAACGTCATCACCATGGAACCTGGGCCAACACGAATGGCAATAAGCCGAGTCTCTGACATCAAGTCTGCATTCCACCAGCTAATGCCAGACTCAGTCCTGGACATTGTCCTGGACTGCACAAACAGAGAGGGACGACGGGTTTATGGAGAGCAGTGGAAGATTGTGGACATGATCCTCCTGTATGCGTACTTTGGTCTGCTCTACCTGGCTGGAGTGTGGCTGAAATTTAAATTCCCTTGATAATTTTGTGAAGCACACAAATCTGAAGACATTTGTGATGTAGGACCACCACCAAATAATTGTGCAATACGCCGTTTGTTTGATAAAAAACGCTCTATGTTTTAGTTACAGCTAGCTCATTTGTAACTTTTACTATCATTACTGTGTTTTCAGCCATCCTCTTGCGGGAAAAGAAAAAGGAAGACAAAGCACATTCCTTCTGTGGAGCGCGTGGCTGAAAGCGCGGAGCAGCAGGGACGGGGGAAGAATGTTATGTTCTTGAGCACACTGCACCAGGAGGGGACAATCTGTGACCAAAAACCACAGATTGTCCTGGACTACAATGCCACCACAGGAGGGGTGGACAACCTGGACAAGCTGGTGACCGCATACCGCTGCAAGAGGAGGACACTACGCTGGCCACTGGTGCTCTTCTTTGACATGCTGGACATCTCGGCGTACAACGCTTTTGTGGTGTGGACGGCAGTCAACCCGGGCTGGAACCAGAAGAAGCTCCAGAGAAGAAGATTTTTTATGGAGGCACTGGAAAAGGCCCTGGTGACACACTCTACATCCAGACCAGGCAGCATATTCCTAGAACACTAGGACATGCACACAGATGCAAACATTCTCTGCAACTCCGATTGCATTTACATTTTGGCTGAGGACTGTGAAGGTGACAAAGAAGATGCACTCATGCTTTGGGAGGGAGGGAGAGAGAGAGAGAGAGACTAAGTGAAAATTCTAATTTCGTATCTTTTCATTTTTCTAGGTTACTAGCGGAGGCAGGAAGAGGTGTGCAGTGTGTGGACCCAAGACCGAGCGGAAGACACCACACACATGCGCGAAGTGCCAAAGATACATCTGCAGTGAGCACACACACAGAACCTGCCCTGATTGCAGCGCATAGGATTGCTGCATTCAGTGTGGCCTGGCTGTGTGTGTGTGTGCGCAAATATGTGTAAATATGTACATACTGGCTGTTCAGCTTGTGTTTTTTGGCAAAGTTTTCTATATGTTGAAATGAGTGTGGGTCAAATAAAAATGACCTGGTGTGAAAAGTCTTGCATCATTTGTGAATTTATTTTTTCGTTTAGCCAAATATGACAAAAACATAGGTAAAGGGCAAATTTTTACATTTACATTTTAGCTGAAATTTGAAGCCCTTGCCTCATTTTGTGTGAAGAACACAAATCTGAAGAGATTTTTGATGCAGGACCACCGCAAGCCCGCAAGCCCCCCAAAGGCATTTAGGTCACACTTGAGCTGTTCAGGTCTGACAGGCCCTGCAATACTACAGGCCACTTGGCCTCACAGTAAACCCTTTGAAGCCAGCCGCTTGAGTGCCAATTGAAACACAAACAGGTTGGTAATTCCTATGCAAAGAGACAGTAACTATAGCTCATCACGAGTTGCAGAGAATGGTTTCACCTGGCGCAATCAGTAAGGTACATGCAATTTGCATCTGCATGGTCACCTCTTCAGCCCTCTGCCACAACAACAGAGTAATTACAGCTCATCACGAGTTGCAGAGAATGGTTTCACCTGGCGCAGTCACTATGGCCATGCAATCTGCATCACCTTCACAGCCCTATGCTGCAATGGAAAGGCTACGCCCCCCAAAGTGTTGGCCACAGAGAATAAAAGCAGGACAGCTGGATGCCTTCTTCCTTTCTGTACTGTACGCTGAACCAGCCAGTATGACACGCCGATTCTCCACCGACATGGCCCTGAAGCTGATCTTCGAGGAGAGCGAGGTTTCTGATTGGGATGAAGACGAGTCGATTTCAGAAACCGAGGACCACATCTCAGCGGTTTCAGAAACTGAAAGTGACTTCGATGACAAAATTTTGACGTAGATTTCATTCCAAGTACAGAGGTAAGACTTTGATTCCAATGCAATACGCTGTCTGTTTGATAAAATGTGCTGTGTGAGATATTTAGAGCTTGCTCATTTGTAACCTCTGCTATCATTACTGTGGATTCAGCCTTCCTCGGGTCGAGGAAGGGCTCGCCCAGTCTCCGTTTCGCACGGAGCGCCATCAGCCCAGCGAGGAGAAGTAAGTATATAACAGTGCAATACGCCGTCTGTTTGATAAAATGTGCTGTGTGTGATATTTAGAGCTTGCTCATTTGTAACCTTTGCTATCATTACTGTAATTTCAGCCTTCCTCAGGAGGGAAAAGGAAGAAAAAAACTAAAGGAATTGTGTCAGTCGAGCGCGTGGCTGAAGGCGTGGAGCAGCAGGGAGAAGCAAGTTACGCTCATGCAATATACAGTCTGTTTGATACAATGTGCTCTGTTGGAGAATTTATTGTAATTGTGATTTATTATTTTGAAACTATTACAGGCTGAGCCAGCTCCTAGAACGTCAGTTGAGGAGGAAATTCCTGGAGACGTCTTCATGTCGAAATCCAGGGAGGTTTCATGGTCTTTCTACCCATCAAAGCAGCCACCCCGCCTTGCAGCAAATGTTATAACCATGGAACCAGGGCCAACCACAATGGCAATCAGCCATGTCTCGGACATCAAGTCCGCTTTCCATGTGCTAATGCCGGATTTGTTCCTCCAAATCATCCTGGACTGCACAAACCACGAAGGTAGGCGTGTATATAGAGAGAAGTGGAAGGTCATGGACATGATACTTCTGTACGCCTACCTTGGTCTTTTGTACCTGGCTGGAGTCTTCAAATCCAATGGAGAGTCCTTGTATTCCCTGTGGTCAGCGGAAAACGGAAGGGCAATATTCAGGTCAACAATGTCCTTGGACAGATTCCAAATAATTACAAGGGTTTTCCGGTTCGATAACAGAGACCACCGAGCAGCTCGACGGCAGACAGACAAGCTTGCCGCCATCCGGACGGTTTGGGACAAGTGGGTGCACTGCCTCCCCCAGCTCTTCAACCCCGGGCCTAATGTCACTGTTGATGAGCAGCTGATGCCGTTTAGGGGCCGCAGCCCATTCAGGCAATATATGCCATCTAAACCGTCTAGGTATGGCATCAAGATCTGGGCTGCCTGCGATGCTGCGACGTCATACGCATGGAACCTCCAGGTGTACACCGGGAAACCTGAGGGAGGAGTCCCCGAGCGTAACCACGCGATGAGAGTTGTCCTGGACCTTTGTGAAAAACTGAAGGGTCACAACATAACCTGTGACAACTTCTTTACGTCTTACAAGCTGGGACAGGAACTGCTGAAGAGAAAGCTGACCATGGTGGGAACGATCCGGAAAAACAAGCCAGAGCCCCACCACAACTGCTGCAGACTAAAGGACAGGCCTATAAATTCCTCCTTGTTCATGTACACGGCTGACACGACCCTGGTCTCATATGTTCCAAGGAAGGCAAAGAATGTGCTGCTGATGAGCACACTTTATCGCGAGGGCACAATCTGTGGCTCAAAACCACAGATTATCCTCGACTACAACGCCACAAAAGGAGGGGTGGACAACCTGGACAAGCTGGTCGCTGCCTACACCTGCAAAAGACGGACACTACGCTGGCCCCAGGTCATCTTCTATGACATGTTGGACATCACAGCATACAATGCTTTTGTCCTGTGGCTGGGAGTCAACCCACACTGGAAACCAGGTAAGCTCCAGAGAAGAAGACTGTTCATGGAGGAGCTGGGAAAGGCCCTGGTGTCACCCTACATCCAGACCAGGCAGCATGTTCCAAGAACACCATACTCTGCGGCAATCGTGAGGAGGATTCAGGGGGAGGATGCTGCTGGCCCATCCACCAGACCTACAGGCCCACAACCACCAGTGCCTGAGGTAAGTGTGTAATGTTGTGGCATAATACTGTATGTGTGACACTCATGCTTTGGTAGAGAGAGAG